AGGGATGCAGGCCTTCTGGATGGGGGTCGGCTGCTTGAAGCCCAGGGCGGTTATTGCCTGCCAATCACAGCCATTGGGAAGAAGCCAGTGTGAGCAGGTCTCTGCCCTACAACTATGCAAACGCTTAACTTGGAACGCACATCAACATGCTGTTCTCTGGCCTCTCAGAAGGACTGGGTCTCCACACTGACATGGGCAGTAATCCCAGCATATGATCATTTCAGGGGAGATGAATGGGAAAGTGGCCATTTCTAGCTCAGCCCTGTTGGCTACTGCCCATACACAGCCTAGGGGCGTCTTCAGTGCAGGAAGGCTAACTACGTCACCCAAGGTGCCTCGCATGCTGGTTGGCCTAGCAGAATCCAAGAGAGAGAGACTGATCTACCCTCAGACTACAACTTATTTGAACTCAAGGGTAACATTTTATCATCTCGAGGCAATACTTCAGGTAATTTTGCTGATAGCCTACAAAGGCAGTAAATCCAGTCTTTCTGCAATCTAATACCATATTTCTCCATGTATAACATGCCCCCTATTTTTTGGGACTCCAAATAAAGAAATCCCCCATATGCACTATCCATGTATAAGACGACCCCTAATTTTAAACTTGAAAAAATAGGGGGGAAATATAGTCTTATACATGGGAAAATACAGTAAATAATAATAATAATAATAATAATAATAATAATAATTATTAATAATATATTATTACTACTACTACTACTACTACTACTACTACAGCCCCAGAAAGTGAAATACTTGATTCTGGTGGCTGGTTTGATTCTGAACATCAGGTGGCTAAACGCTCTCAGGATCTTTAGAAAATAATCAGAATTTTTAGGAAAGTGGTTTTTTTATACCAGAGGAACCAATTGCAGAATGTGGTAGAATTTCTTATTTCAGCTTTGGACATGTAATAATGGAGAAGAATTCAACTAGATTTCAGAGCATTGAATTGTGTGGACTGAGGGAAATGAAATATCCCACTGAAGCAGCAGGAACCAATCTAGACAGCTGCTTTGACGGCAAATTGTGCATGCACAAAAGGTCAACACGGTATCTTCTTGTAGCATTTACAGATCTACCTTTAGCTTTTGATTTGATAGACAGAGTTTGGTCTAAGCTGTTCAATACATATATTGAAAAAAGACCATTGATTTTAATTTAAAACCCACATTCTTATGCTCATCTTAAAGTGAAAGCAAGTTAAATGTCCCCCTTACTAACCCCTTTTTTAGCAAATAAACAGGACTGACTGACAACTGACAAGGACCCCCTCTCCCCACATGAAGTGACCCTGACCCTGTGATCATCACCTGAGGACCTTCTTCTGATGCCTCCTCCATGAGGTCCAGAGGGCGGGCAAAACCTTTTCTGCTGTGGCTCCTCATTTGTGAAAAGCTCTCCCCAGAGAAGCTCGCCCGGCGCCTTCATTACATATCTTTTTTTGCCAGGCAAAAACAATTTTACTTCAACCAGGCCTTTGACTGATTTACCTTCTACAGCTTTTTTAATGTGTTTGTGGGAGGAGAGTTATGGGTTTGTTTTTGTTTTCTTATGTATTTTGTTGTCTCATTTTGTATTTTTATGTTGTGAACCGCCCTGTGATCTTCGGCTGGCATACAAATTTAAATATAAATAAACAAGAACTTGCTTCTTCCATCCTCCAACTACAGGCTCATTTAAGGTCCATTTACCCAGAAGCCTCGAACCCTGTTAACAGTACAGTGGAACCTCGGTGAAAACGTTCAAAAACCAAGAAGCAATGGGAGGTCGGCAAAATCCATTGAGAAAAAAGAAAAACACGCAGCGGACCTGTTTGAAAACAGAAGCAATTACTTCCGGGTTTTCGGCATTCAGATTCCGAAACGTTCAGCTTCCAAGATGCTCAAAAACGGAGGTTCCACTGTATGATGAACATCCTAACAACCACCTTCGCCATCTCCCTCTGAAAGAAAGCAGGATGTGGCTACCTTCAGCAAGGGCCGGGAGAGGTTCATGTCTTGGAACGACAGGCTGTCATCGTACTGTGAAGCATCTTCAAAGAACTGCTCCGGTTCCTAGAAAGGAGGATCAGAAAGAGAAAGCCTGGAACACAGACTCACAACATGAGGGAAGGACCCCTGTTTCTGCAGGTGCTCCTTCTCACCCAGCACCACCCAGCATCCAAAGGCTTACCTCCTCTCCACCTCGCTTCCTTTTCCGTCGCTGCTTCACCTTGAGTGTATCTGTAAAAAACCACACGACCCCCCCCACCAAAAGATGATCAGAACACCTTACAAATCAGAGAGTAGCACCTCCTACTAAAACCTCGATTCATGCAGCTAGCTGCAAAAAGTATGTCAGCTGCCCCACTGTAAGGCACAGAAGATGCACACTTGCTCTCTTCTGCCCCGGTGCCTGCACAGCACATCCATTGCCATGGTTACCAGCTTTTGTGAAGATGCTCTCATCTGCCGAAGAGTACTCAGACTCCAACTCCTCCTCCTCCTCCTTTGCATCTTCCTCCTCACTTCCTCCAGCATCCACCTTGTCTACATTCTCCTGTGTAGCCTCCCCAGCATCTTCTTTTGCTGGCCCTTGTTTAGCTTGCTTTTCCTGGAAAAGACCCCCCAAATGGGACATTGTTTTTTACTGCCCAGCCTCCTTCTCTATGGCCAAAGAGTTTATTGTCTTGACCAAAGACCCTAACGATTTCATTACAATTTACCAAACTGTAACAAACAGCGTACAACAACTACGTACTCCAAAGCATCAAGCATATAAAGAAAGGGAGTCAGAGTCTGTATCATCTGCTAGCTCATACCTAGCTTAACTTCCATTAGACCTCTGAATTTCCAGCGCAACTTTTTGCAATATTGTTTCTTTTTCTCATCTTTCTTGCAGCCAGAACAGAAGAAGAAGAAGAAGAAGAAGAAGAAGAAGAAGAAGAAGAAGAAGAAGAAGAGTTTGGATTTGATATCCCGCCTTTCACTCCCTTTAAGGAGTCTCAAAGCGGCTAACATTCTCCTTTCCCTTCCTCCCCCACAACAAACACTCTGTGAGGTGAGTGGGGCTGAGAGACTTCAGAGAAGTGTGACTGGCCCAAGGTCACCCAGCAGCTGCATGTGGAGGAGCGGAGACGCGAACCCAGTTCCCCAGATTACGAGACTACCGCTCTTAACCACTACACCACACTGGCTCTCATAAAGCACCACTTTATGTGATACAAATCCGTTAGAGTCAAATACGTTAAGGAATTGTTTCTGCCATTGTAAGCCTGCTTCTAAACTTCCTTCTCTAAGATTCCACGATTAAATAATGTTCCACAGAACCAGAAAAACTGCTTGAAGATTCGGGTCCCTACAGAGATACAATCACACTGCAGGCACCTCATGCAAAAGGCAAAGCCCACACAGCTCTTTCATGGGTTACACATGCCGCCCCATCCAGAAGCTGATCTTGCATTAAGCAGAGGATTGGGCTAGAAGACCTTCCAGGTCCCTTTCAAATGTATGGTGTTATGAATAGCCACCTGCCCTGACTTTGGGGTCCTGAAAATGGGAAGTTCTGTTGTGCTTAGATGAGTCATTCTACAGTCACAGAGGTTCCCCTGCACATGAAACAGACCAGTTGGACACTTTGTTTTGGAAGGCAGCACAACACCCACACACAGGCGCCCAAGTGGTGGGGACTGAGGGGTATTCAGCACCCCCAAATTTTTCAAGGAGGGGACGGGGCTGCCCCAAATTCCTGTGGCCCTGCTCCACCTCCTCCTCCCTGCCAATGTCATGTGGGCAAGAGTGTGGAGCTGGCAGCCCTGCCTCGCAGCCTCCTCCTCCCTGCCTGAGGTTGCGTGGGGAGGAGGAGGCCAAGCATGGAGCCCAGCTCTGCGCTCCCCATTCCGCACCCAGCGCTCGAGTACTGGCACATGGCGTGTAACATGATGCATCACATTTTGTGCCCCTGCAATGTCGAGGGCAAATTGCTGCCCTTATCCACGCAGATACAGGAACCCCGAAGATTCCAAACGGGTGGGAATTTCTAACCTGGGCTTTCCTTTTCTTTCTGACAGTTGCAATCTTCTCGTCCAGGCTGGTAGCGGATCTCTGCATAAGAGAAAACAAACAAGGTGAGTGCAGGAGTGGAACCCCAAAGATCAGACGCTCCAGCAGGATGACCTCATGGGAACCCTGAGGCACGGAGCAACCTTCCCATCCGGACTTTGCAGGTCTCAGAGAGCGGAGCAGGGGGGACAGAGAGAAGGCCCAGAAACCTTTTTTGCTCCATAGGAGGATGAAGAAGAATTGGCAGTGGCTTCGGAGAAGCTGCCCTGCTGGATCAGGCCAGAAGGCGGTGGTGGGAGGTTTTTTTTGGGGGGGGAGTGATGTCGCAGAGTATGTGCCCCTGCGGAGCCCCCCCCCCGCTCTCACCTTCCCCTTGAGCTGCCTCAGCACCTCCGCCCAGGGGCCTCCGCTGGGCCCCGCCGACGCCTCGGCGAACGCAAAGCCCGCCGCGAAGTCTCCGCCGCGGCCGCCTCGGCCCACAGACACCTCCTAGGGGGAGACGAGACAAGAGAGGTGAGCGGAGAAAAGACGGAGCGAGGGAGGGAGAGAAAGAGGGAGAAAGAGAGAGAGAGAGAGAAAGGGGGAGAGGGAGAAAAGAGGGCGGGAGGGAGAGCAAGGCCCCGCCGGAGAGGAGGACGACGAGCGGGGCAGGCGCTGCCCGGCTCTCCCTCCCCGCCGCCCCCTCGCCTACCTCGGTCTCGGAGCCGCTCTCCTCCTCCTCGGCCTCCTCGCCGCCGGGCCCGCCCAGCCTCGCCCGCCATCCTTCGCCGAGCTCCATCGTGGTCTCGGAGGGACCGGAAGTGCAGGGCGCCGGGTGCGCCCACGCAGAGCTCCGCCCGTCCGGCTCCCTTTCCCTTCCGCCGGGGACGGCGACCGGGGCGCAGGGGTTCCTCGGCGGGGCGGGGCCGGGCGGGAAGCGCCGCCTCGGGGGGGGGGGGAGAAACGAAAGCGAAAGCGGGGGCGGAGCCAGCCGGGAAGGGGAAAGCGAAAGTCGAAAGTGAGCCGAAAAGGCGGCGGCGGAGGAGGAGGAGGAGGAGGAGGCGCAGAGCCCGGAGGCGCCTCGACGGGACGGAGAAGAGCCATGGACGGGCGCGGGCGAGGAAGGGGGCAGCAGCAGCGGCGGCCGCGAAGAGGCGGAGGAGCGGGAGGCAGAGGCAGAGGTGACAGCCACAATTTAATAAGAATAATAAGAAGAAAAAGAATTATAAGAAGAATAGTTTATTATTTCTACCCCGCCCTTCTGGCTGGGATTCCCCAGCCACTCTGGGCGGCCTCCAACAAAAGATTAAAAACACAGTGGTACCTCGGGTTACATACGCTTCAGGTTAGAGACTCCACTAAGCCAGAAATAGTGCTTCAGGTTCAGAACTTTGCTTCAGGATGAGAACAGAAATTGTGCTCCGGAGGCGCGACAGCAGCAGGAGGCCCCATTAGCAAAAGTGGTGCTTCAGATTAAGAACAGTTTCAGGTTAAGAACGGACCTCCGGAACGAATTAAGCACTTATCCCGAGGTACCACTGTACATTGACACATCAGTCCTTGAAAGCGGCTGGCCAGAGCGGAGGAGAAGCGCAGCTTTCCGGGACCGGAGGCTCCGCTCAAAGGCTGCGCTTCTCGCCAGAAGTGGGAAGAGGGAGGGGATCGCCAGGGGTCATCTAACTCAACCCCCGCAATGCAGGACTCGGAGCATCCCCGACGGATGGCATCCAGCCTCCGAGGAAGGAGGGTCCACCCCTCCCGGAGTCCAAAGAGGGGCTTCTGCGCCTCGCAGGGCGACCACGGGCTGGCGGGGGGGGGCGTCTCCGCCTTGGTCAGAGCCCCGGTCTTCTCCCTTCTGCCGCACCGGGATGAGAAAGCGAAAAAAGGAGCCGAGCAATTGCTTCAGCTTTGGCGGCTGGATCTGGTCCAGCGTCCCCTTCCCGCCGCCGGGGAAACCCCGTCCTGCGGCTCCGGCTCTTGGCAACGGGAGGTTGGGCCGCCCCGCCCGGCCCGGCTCTCCGCCCCCCCCCCCGCCCCCGTCCATCGTTTCGGGGGAGGAGCCGCCAAATGGGAGGAGGAGGAGGAGGGAGCCGCCCAGTTCCCTCCCAGATCCCTCTGGATGCGGCCCCTGGGTGGAGAATTCAGCCCCTGCCTAACTTTGGAGGGGCAAAGCCAAAGTTATCCCCTGAAGGGGGAGGGGGCAGATGGGGGCAGCACTGGGGCAAAGCACAGCTTGGGCTTCTGCCCAGAGACTCCCTAACTTCCCTCTTTTCCTTCTGCAGAGCCTCAAGATGGAGGAGCCTCCCAGCAGAACGCAAGTGGGCAGCGTGAGGGGGTCCCTGGCAGAGCTGCAGAGCGGAGGGCTGGCTCTGGCCGGACCCCCCACCAGGACGGGGCGCGCAACCCCAGGTGGCTGGGGGCAGAGGGGAACCGTTTCCCTCGCAGAGGGGGCGTCTGGCCTGGGGCTGGGGGACAGAACCAGGGAGGGCCGGCCAGGGATGGCCCAGGAAGGCAAAGAGAGGGGGCCCCAAACGCTGACCCCACCCAGCGGCCCCACGCAGGGCCAGGAGGCTCTCCGCAGCAGCGGGGCCCAATGATCGGCACCCGCTTCCTCCGTGAACTCCTCGAGAAGGACCCTTCGGAGGTGGCCATCACACTGGCTTCCAGCCCCCGCCTGCGGGAGGCGCTCTCCCCAGTTGCCATGAGGCCAGACTTGGTACAGCTGCTCTGCCAGGTTCTCCGCAAGGCCTGCCTCTCCCGCATGGACCGCCAGAGCATTCAGCGGCTGCTGGAGACGGTGAAGGAGTCCTCCTTCCTCCGGGTCTGCCTGCCCCAGTACGTGGCCGACATGCTGACGGAGGCCCGACCGGAGGTGCGGCACCAGTGCCCACAGCACATTGCCAGCGTGGTGGCGCTGGTCCAGGAGCTGGTCAGCATCTTCCCGGCCAGCTCCCTCCAGAAGGTGGCCCTGCTGATGTCCGTCCTGCCAGGCTCCGTCAATGGCCTCCGGGCCCTGGGAGTGGACTTCCCGGTGGAGCTGGAACAGAGTCTGGAGAAGCTGCAGGGCTTCATCCAGCACCTCCAGGAGCGCCGGCGTGAGGGCACCTTGCGGGTGGACAGCTGCACCCTCCTCCAGCCCACCGCCCCTGGCGAGGAAGGGGAGTACCGCGCCATGTCCATCTACCCCACCTACGAGGAGGTGAACCGTGGCCAGAAGCCCTTCCTGCGCCCCAACCTCATCAGCCAGCCCTACGAGAGCCCCGCCGTTTACCTGGACACCCACTTTCGCCTCCTGAGGGAGGACTTTGTCCGGCCGCTGAGGGAGGGCATCCTCCAGTTCCTCCAGAGCTTCGAGGAGGCCGGCCCGGGCAGGAGGAGGTTTGACGACATCCGCGTGTACCTGGACGCCCGGATCCTGGCTCCACTCTGCTCCCGGACCGGCATTGACTACAAGGTGCACTTTGATTCCACGCCGCTGGGCACCGTCCGGTGGGAGAACTCCAAGCGCCTGCTGTACGGCTCCCTGGTCTGCCTGTCCAAGGACAACTTTGAGACCTTTCTCTTTGCCACGGTCTCCGACCGGGAGCCCCAGGAGCTGCGCAAGGGCTTTGTCCACCTCTCCTTCGCCACCCACAGCCAGGCCCTGCTGGCCGAGGTCCAGCCCTCTGACTCCTTCGTCATGGTGGAGACCACCGCCTACTTTGAGGCCTACCGACACGTCCTGCAGGGGCTGCAGGAGCTGCGGGAGGAAGACGTCCCCTTCCAGAGGTACATTGTCCACTGCGAGGCCCAGGTGAGGGAGCCAGCTTACCTGCGGAGGGAGCCGGGAAGCAGCATTTACGACCTCAGGTGCCTGATGGCCAAGCCTCCCCCTGCTGGGGCGGAAGGAGCCCCTGAGGGTCGTGTGGACGTGCTGGATGCCTCCCAGTGGCCGACCCAGGAAGCCGTGGGCCTGGATGAGTCCCAGCTGCAAGCCCTGAAACTCGCCCTGACCAAGGAGCTGGCCATCATCCAGGGGCCTCCGGGGACAGGTGAGTCGGGCGTCCCACCCTCCGAGGAAGAGGCGTCTGTTGCAGGAAGTGGGGTTGGGAGGGGGAGCCTTTCACCGCAGAGGAGTTCCAGGATCTCTCCTGGGCCCGAAACCGTATGTATTTATCACATTTATGTCCCTTGATAGCGGAGTCCCATATAAACTTCGACACACGTCTGAAAGATAACATGCACACGTTGGCAGAGTCAGCAAAAGCAGGGCTGTGGTGGAATTGTAGCATCAAGCATCTTTATTTACAGCAAAGAAATAAAAGCAACAGTTGTGTGAGCTTCCTCACACATCCTCTCTGTCGGAGATAGAAAGAACAAAGCAGTTTATCAGCCTGACTTCCATTCGCACATTCATAACAAATGAAATCATCCGGTCTTGTGACCCTTTGCAATAGCAACAGTGAAAAATACTGACAATTTCCTCCAAGGAGCTCTGGGTGCAACATGCAGAATTCTCCTTCCTGTTTTATCCGCACACCAACCCTGTGGGCGAGGCCAGGCCAAGAGGCAGCAACTGGCTGCCGAGGTCACACCAAGTGAAGCGCAAGGCCGACATAGGAATTTGAACCCCGGTCTCTCCCGGGTCCTAGTCTGACGCTCGAGAGCCAGTGTGGTGCAGTGGTTAAGAGCGGTAGTCTCGTAATCTGGGGAACCGGGTTCGCGTCTCCGCTCCTCCACCTGCAGCTGCTGGGTGACCTTGGGCCAGTCACACTTCTTTGACGTCTCTCAGCCCCACTCACCTCACAGAGTGTTTGTTGTGGGGGAGGAAGGGAAAGGAGAATGTTAGCCGCTTTGAGACTCCTTAAAGGGAGTGAAAGGTGGCATATCAAATCCAAACTCCTCTTCTTCTTCTTCTTCTAACCACTGCACCATCATGCCTCTCCAGATGGAGGCTCAGATTTCTGCCTGAAACTGGGGTGGGTGTGTAGTGGAGCCGGCTGGATCCTGACACCCCACAAGACCCACTTTTCCGACCCCCCGTCACTCTGGAATCGGGTGTCTTCCTTTGCCTCATGGGGTTTGAACCCGAGCCAAGCCACTGCTTGCCTGCAGATCCTGCTTGGAATGGCAGTGAATTGGCTGTGGCATGGGGGATGTGGCTTGTGACCCCCCCCCAGCTGCTAGCCTTTTATTGCTGGTGGGGGGAAAGGCTGAGGCTGCAGGGGGGCCCTCTGATGCCCCTTGGGGGTTGGCAGTCAGAGCTTCCTGCTTTGACGGGGCTTTTCCCACAGGGAAGACCTACGTTGGGCTGAAGATCATGGAAGTCCTGCTGAAAAACAAGGCCGCCCGCGGAGAGACCCCCATCCTCGTGGTCTGCTACACCAACCATGCCCTGGACCAGTTCCTGGAAGGTGGGGGGTCTGCCTGCCCTGGGCAGCAGCACCTTGGCCGGGGGGGGGGAAGGGGGGGAGAGGAGAGAATAGAGATTGGCGGAATTGGAAGGGACCCTCAAGGGCCATCCAGTCCAACCCTCTGCATTGCAGGAATTACTGAGACTCCTTTGCAGGGGGGGTCATTGTACGGGTGGTTGCCCATTGTCCTGGCAGTGGCGGGAGGGTGTGGGTCCCCTGCTTAGGTATCCCACCTTGACTTTTACGTCTCTCCCCCCCCCCCCCCCAGGAATCCAGGCGTTCCAGCCGACGGACATCGTGCGGGTTGGTGGCAGGAGCAACAGCGAGAAGTTGAAGCCGTTCACCCTGCAGCAGCTGCGGGGCAGAAGCGACTTCTGGAGAGGCCTTCCTGGCCACCTCCGGTGGTCCTACAGTGATGTACGTGCGAGGGAGGGGGAGGGGGGCTGGTTTGGAGGGTGTCATTCGGGGGGGGGGGTTGCTGGGACTTTGCCCAGGAGAACAGCCAGATCAGCAAAGCACAGGGAAATGGAGGGACCCCCAAGAGTCATCTAGTCAACCCCTGCAACGCAGAAATCGCAGCCCAAGAACCCCTCCAGTGTAGCCACCCAGCCTCTGTTTAAATACCTCCAAGGAAGGAGAGAGCGCCCCCCCCCTTCTGGGGGAGTCTGTTACACAGCCAGACATCTCTTCACCTTGAATGCTCAAGCCATTGCCAGAGCTGAGGGCTGCTTTGTCACTGGAGCGCAGCACCTGTGGAAATGCTGCCTTGTTGCTGAAAGGGAGCTCCACGCTGCCTCCCCAGACCAGGGCCAGAGCTGGAGGTTGGGCGGAGTGGAGGGACTGAGCAGGGCGCCCTTGGGGGGAGAGCAGTTGGAGGCGCCAGCAGAGGAAGGGCGGGAGCAGAGCTGCCCGGCCGGGCGCCCCCAGCTGTCCTCTGCTGGGTCTTGATCCCTTGCTGGGCTTTGTCCGCTGGAGGGGCTGACCTGGCCTCTTTTTCCCGAGGGCAGATCACCTGCGAGATGCGGGAGGCCGAGTTCGAACTCAACCGAGGGGCGGCTCAGCTGGAGTGTGGGCTGCACGGGATTCTGCACGAGAAGCACCTGCGGAGCTGCATCTCCAGCCGGCACTGGGAGAGCCTCGTGAGGGGCCTGGTAAGGAGCAGGAGGGGCGCATCGGGGGCGGGCATCAGAAGGCGGCCCCGCAAGTAGACACCCCACCAGGATCTCTCCATCTTAGGGAGCAAGTGCCCCTGGGAAAGCAGAGGGGGAGCCCCCCAACTCCTCAAGGGCTTCTCCAGCCCCTCAGCTGGAAGCAGCAGAGCAGGGGCCAAAGTCTTGGGCGAGAGTGTGAGCTGTTTGGCTGCTCTGATGAGTAGGAATTCCTCCCTCAAAGGGGGGGGGGCTGATGGGGACTCCAGTCATGGAAGAAACCACCCTATCTATCTATCTATCTATCTATCTATCTATCTATTTATTTATTCCATGCAATCGATAGATGCACCTGCTTGAAATTTGTGTGTGTGTGTGTGTGTTTATATACAAAGAAACAATCCATAAAAATTCAGAAGGTTGAAAGTTTCTAACCGTCGAGGTTAGGCTTGTCTAAAAAGGAAGTTTTCAGCAGGCACCAAAAAGAGCAAAGTGGCAGCGTCTGATTGACGTCAAGGGGCAGGGAGTTCCCAAGGGCAGGTGCTGCCACACTAAACCGTCAGCACCCATGAAAGACTCATCGCCCTGGAGGGAGATTTTCCCAGGAGAACCTCCTGCTGCAGAGAGACCTCCTGGCTCTCTGGGAGCACGAGGCGGTTGCAAGGGTTCCCCGCCTGCCCCCGCCCCTCTCGTGGCCCCCGGCTCCTGCTTGCCTTCCTGTCTTGGGGTCCCTGGGACTGTGGCACCTGCCCACCCACCACTGAGCCAGTCTGACCTGCTCCTTCTTGCTCCAGGAAGAGGACTGGATGGATCCAAAGCACTCTCTGATCCTGGAGTGGCTGGGACTTGGCGTCACGCCGGTTGAAAACATGGCCGATCCAGGATGGCCAGAAAATGCAGGTAAGGGGCTTTCCTTTGGGCAGCTTCTGGGTGGGACAAGGATGAGGTGGCGAGTTCGAGACACGGAAGGAGCCTGGGGCCTGCCCACTCTCTGCCGCCACCTACCGGTCTCTGTGTGGCCCTTCAGGCGTTGAGGAAGACCAGGAGGCGGAGGAAGGCCCACAGGCAGAGCCAGAGCTGCTGCAGGTCGTGGAGGAGGCAGACTTGATTCAGCGCGAGCGGCTGCTGGACCACGATGAGGAGGGGCAGCTGCGGAGGAGGAAACCCCCCAGGCACAACCTGGACGACCTGTTTCTGGCCATGCGGTTGGATGATGAGAAGGGGGAGCAGAGAGCCCCACATGGGGCAGAAAACGCTGGGTTTCAGGTATTGGGGGGGACGACACAGTGCGTTGCATTGGAGGGGGTGAAAGCTCTGTGGTCGCTGCCCCTGAGGCGGGCAGGACAGGGGTTGCCCCGGCCTCCTCCTCACCTGCCCGCTTGGGGTTCTCTCTGCAGCTGCAGCGGGGCCGGAAGAAGAAGATGAAGCGACAAGCAAAGGCGGAACTGAAAAAATGGCAGGCGATGACCAAAGAGGAGGCTGAGGCCATCCTGGATGTGTGGCAGCTGAACCTCAGCTCCCGCTGGAAGCTCTACAGGTAATTTCTGCTGCAGGGGCCTCTGGTGCCCATGCCCACCCCCCTACACCTCCTCTGCTTAAAAACCTCCAAGGATGGAGAGTCTACAACCTCTCGAGGAGACCATTCCAATGTCAAACAGCTCTTATGCTCAGAAAGTTATTCCTGATGTTGAGTCAGAGTCTCATTTCTTGCAACTTGAAGCCACAGGTTCAAATCCTACCCACCGGAGCAGCAGAAAATAAGCTTGCTCCCTCTTCTCAGTCCTTGAGATATTTGAAGAGGGGTCTCATATCTCCTCTCAGCCTCCTCTGTTCCACGCCAAACATCCCCAGTTCCTCATAAGGCTTGGTTTACTGACCCTTGATCATCCTTTTAAAATTGTGGTGCCCAGAATTGGACACAGCATTCCAGGTGTGGTCCGACCAAGGCAGCATAGAGTGGGACTATGACGTCCCTTGATCTGGACACTCGACTTCTGTGGATTCACATTTTTTGCTGCTCCATCACACAGTTGACTCGTGTTCAGCTTGTGATCCTTTTCACACGTGCCACTAGTAAGCCAGGTGTCCCCCCTCCTATGTTGGTGCCCCTGGTTCTTTCTGCCTAAGGGCAGAACCTGATCTTTGTGCCGCACAGGTACTGGTTGCAGAAGCACCAAGCTGAGATCCAGCGCGAGATGCTGCAGCACAAACAAAAGTACCAGGCGGCAGCCGACAGGCTGGCTGAGCTTCGCCAGCACCAGGACCTCTGTGTCTTCAGGACAGCCCAGATCGTGGGCATGACGACCACAGGTGAGGAGGAGGCTGTGTAGCAAGCTGCCCCCCACACCCTGGGGTGCCCACCTGTGACGGGGGGGGGGGAGAGAGAAGAGGAGCCTCTCTCACCTGCTTCCTTGCCCAGCTGCAACACAACACGCCTGCAGTGCTGCCCGTGGGCCTTACTCTCCAGTAGTTGCTGCCGTTGCCCTCACACTTCCTCCAGTTGGAGAGGGGGCAGCCTGGCTTGGAGGCAGAGGGGGCAGAGATCAGGGCGTCCCCTCACCCCCCCCCCGTCTCACCCCAGGAGCCGCTCGGTACCGCCAGGTCCTGCAGCAGGTGGCCCCTCGCGTGGTCATTGTGGAAGAGGCAGCCGAAGTCCTTGAGGCCCACGTCATCACCACCCTGAGCAGGGCCTGCCAGCACCTCATCCTCATTGGAGACCACCAGCAGGTAGGTGGGTGGGTGGGCCAGCTGAGGGGCGGGGTCTGCTGGCCTTGGGCCCCACCCCTTCTCCCCCGCCCCCTACCCCACGGGCTCCATCTTCCTTCTTTCCTTGCAGCTGCGCCCCAGCGCCAACGTCTACGACCTGGCCAGGAACTTCCACCTGGAGGTGTCTCTCTTTGAGCGGCTGGTGAAGGTCGGTCTTCCCTTCGTCCGCCTCGCTTTCCAGGTGAGGCACAAGCAGGGCCCCCCCCGGCCCCCTCCCTCGCTCTGTGGAGGCTGCTGGATCAGGCCAAAGGGGGCTCAGCCGGTCCAGCGGCCTCTTCTCCGAGAGGCCCAGCAGATCTCCAAAGGGACACCCACAAAGTCGGGATCTGGGTGCAAGAGCACTGGCTCCCCTTGGGGGGTGTTGCAGGAGCTGGGATTGGGAAGCATTGACAGCCTCCAAATGGGGGTTTCTCTCTTTCACGCACAAGCGAGGAACGAGGGGAGAAGAGCTGGGAGCCTTTCCTGCCTGGCTGGGGGCAGCCCCAGACCCTGGCTGCTCTCCTCTAGGGTGGGCGGCCCAGAGGCAGCCACACATGGTTCCCCCCTCAGACCTTGAAGCAGAGAAGGGCGGTGGCCGCCTGAGGCAGCCCCTCTTTTCGTGAGGGCGGTTGCCTTCCCCTCTCCATCACCTCTCCCTCGGCTTGCCCTTTTTGCAGCACCGCATGAGGCCAGAGATCGCCCAGCTGCTCACCCCGCACATCTACCAGGACCTGGAGAACCATCCCTCGGTGCTCCGCTACGAGAACATCAAGGTGAGCATCTCTCCCCTCCCCTCGCCTCCGCCTGGCTGGCTGGCAGCCTTTGGCCAGGAGACTCTGCCTTGCCAGCTCAGCAGCCTCCTCTCCTCTCCTCCTCTCTGCTCAGGGCGTCTCCTCCAACCTTTTCTTCGTGGAGCACAGCTTCCTCGAGCAGGAGATCCAGGAGGGCCGCAGCCACCAGAACCAGCACGAGGCCCAGTTTGTGGTGGAGCTGTGCCGCTACCTGCTGCGCCAGGGCTACCAGCCCTCCCAGATCAGCATCCTCACCACCTACACGGGGCAGCTCTTTTGCCTGCGCCGCTTGCTGCCGGCCAAGGAGTTCCAGGGCGTCAAGGTCCACGTGGTGGACAAGTACCAGGGGGAGGAGAACGACATCATCCTGCTCTCCCTGGTGCGCAGCAACCTGGCGGGGCGGGTGGGCTTCCTGCAGATCCCCAACCGCATCTGCGTGGCCCTTTCCCGCGCCAAAAAGGGCCTCTACTGTGTGGGCAACATGGGCATGCTCAGCCAGGTGCCTCTCTGGAGCAGGATCCTGCACACTCTGCGCGAGAAGGGCCACGTGGGCCGGGCGCTGCGCCTGGCCTGCCAGAACCACCCGCAGACCAAGACGGACGTGGTGCAGGCAGAGGACTTCCGCCAGGTGCCCGAGGGGGGCTGCAGCGTCCCTTGTGACACCCGCCTGGGCTGCGGCCACGTCTGCCCCCGGGCGTGCCACCCCTACGACCCGCAGCACAAGGAGCTCCGCTGCTTGAAGCCCTGCCAGAAGGTGCTGTGTGACAACGGGCACCGCTGCTCCAGGCTGTGCTGTGAGCCCTGCGGGAAGTGCCAGGTGAAGGTGCCCAAGACGGTGCCCAGGTGCGGCCACCAGCAACAGGTTCCCTGCTCAATGGCCGCTGAGGATTTCTGCTGCAAGAAGCCCTGCGGGAAAACCCTGGAGTGCGGGCATGCCTGCCAGCTCACCTGCGGCCAGCAGTGCGAGAGGCGCTGCCCAGAGCTGGTCCTGGCGACGCTGCCATGTGGGCACAGCCAGGAGGTGCCATGTTCAGCAGCATCAGAGATGGCATACGGGCGTCCCATCCGCTGCAAGACGAAGTGCGACAGCATCCTGGAGTGCGGGCATCCTTGCCCAGGCTCGTGCCACACATGCTTTGGGGGCCGCTTCCACCAGCCGTGCCGGAGCCCCTGCAAGCGCCCGCTGGTTTGCGGCCACCAGTGCCGCCAGCCCTGCACCAGGGACTGCCCCCCGTGCCGCCAGCCCTGCCAGAACCGCTGCGTCCACAGCCGCTGCCCCAAGCAGTGCGGGGCGCCCTGCTCGCCCTGCATGGAGCCCTGCGAGTGGCGCTGCCAGCACCACCAGTGCGGGCGCCTGTGCTCCGAGCCCTGTGACCGGCCGCGCTGCGACGTGCCCTGCCCCAAGCGCCTCCCTTGCGGGCACCCTTGCGCCGGGCTGTGTGGGGAGCCCTGCCCGCAGAAGTGCCTGACCTGTGACGCGGAGGAGCTGACGCAGATCTTCTTTGGCTGTGAGGATGAGCCGGACGCCCGCTTTGTGCAGCTGGAGGACTGTGGGCACATCTTCAGTGCACTGGGCCTCGACCGCTACATGGATGGCGACGAGGAGGAAGAGGAAGGGGCTGTCCGACTGAAGGTGTGCCCCAGCTGCCAGACGCCTGTCCGGAAGAGCCTGCGCTACGGCACGTTGGTAAAGAGGAGCCTGGCAGAGGTGGAGGTGGTGAAGGGGCGCATGCAGGGCAGCTCGGCGGAGATCACCTCGGGCGCCCTCCAGCTGATGAGGGCGCTCCAGCAGGAGACCACCCTGAGGCGCCACCTGACCAGGCAGCACAAGCAGCTGAGGGAGAGACTGGAGGACGACTCCCTCTCTGCCAGCACCCTGGGGCTGGTGGAGACCCTCTTTGGCTTCTACGCACAGGTGGCAGGCCTGATGGCCGCTGTGGGAAAGCTGGCGCAGCAGGAGCAGGAGGGCGTGAGGAGGCGCCTGGCCGAGGTGGCCGGCTGGCTAGACCAGCCCCGCGACAGCTTCAGCGGGCAGCAGGTGTCTGAGCTGCGGACCGAGCTGCGGCGGATGACCTACCTGGTGGAGCTCCTGGCGAGGTGCAACACTGCTGGGGAGAAGGCGAGCCGGGCCCCCGGCACAGCGGAGCTGGTCAGCGCGGCCCAGAAGGCCCTGGAGGGGCCTGGCAGGTTCACCCCCGAGGCCGAGAGCGAGGCGAAGGCCAAGCTGAAGGAGCTGGAGGCTGTTCTGCCCACCGTCGCTGGACTGGGCATCTCCGAGGAGGAAAGGAAGCAGATTGTGGCGGCCGTCAGCGGAGCCACCCGCGGGCACTGGTTCAAGTGCCGCAACGGGCACTTCTACGTCATTGGCGAGTGCGGGGGGGCCATGGAGACGACCCGCTGCCCGGAATGCCGGGAGACCATTGGGGGCGAGCACCACACGCTGGAGTCCAGCAACCGGCTTGCCCCTGAGATGGACGGGGCAACCCACGCAGCCTGGTCCGAGGAGGCCAACCGCTTGAACATGAATAATTACCTGCGCTAGGAGGCCGGCCCCCCTCACGGGAGCTGCTTTCCATAAAATATTTTAATATTTTTATCACGTATTAATATTTTTTACCACGTTTGGTCACCCTATCATGGTGGACTTGGTTCATTGAAAGAGTTGCAGAGCTTTTAACATGACAACAGGGGGTGAGATGAAACAAACAGTAAGGTGAGCAGGTAAAGGCAACTCAGGAAGCTTCTCCTTGCTGTCTCTCCTCACCTGCCCTGCAGCTCCAGGAGCCACGTTCTGCTCCCCGCCTGCTCTGTCTTTTCCAAAGAAGCAAGATGACCAGTGTCAAAGTGCTTTTACAATCAAGTAGTATATTGCTTTTGTGAAACGCAATCACCCTGGGTTGTCAGAGGGGCTGGGAATGGGCAGCGCAGGGCCCCACTCTCTGCTCATGGCGCCCCTGTCCTGACAACCCTCTGCCTGCCAGATTTTACTGTTGCAAATAAATTTGTCATAGCGGATCCCCCGTTGTGCTTCGGAGTGTCTTTTCTGTGGGGGCCAGGAAAGGTCTTGTGTCCTGGACGATGCCAAAGGTCCCCTCTGGGTCGGGCCGGAGCTGCTCCTGGGAGGGTGCCTGTGCCCGTGGGGCTCTCCCGGTTTGCTCCTGGAGCCCCCATGAAGAATGCTGGTGAGGGGCAAGACGGGGCTGTGGCCACAAGGGCCTTTCACCAGCTTCACCTGCTGTGATAGCTACGGCCATAACTGGGTCAGAATTGCTTGCCCCCTCTAGGCCATTGCCTGGTAAACTTGAGGCAGGATTACTGCAATGGGTTCTCTGCAGTGCGGCCCTTGGGAGGGCGCAGAATTCAGGGGACAAAACCAGCAGCGTGTGACATATCTGTTAAACAACGCATCTGCGATGGCTGCTCACATGCTACTGCATCCTGACTCGTGTATATGCAAACCTTGAGCAACTTGAGCTCTGGCACCTCAAACTCCATCACAGATCATGGTGGGGGGGAGAGCTGTCCATTGTCCCCCATGATCCAGAGGCCTGACTGGGATCTCCCGGAAGCCAGGCATGTGGTGTCTCTGGACCACTGCTGGGAAACTCCCAAGAGAGATGCAGCAGGCACCCTCTCTTTGCACTTCCAGGCATCTCTCAAAGGCACTTTTTGTGCCACTGTTTACTATGCATTTCGAATAGCCAGTTACCTATATTTTGGTTTCTGAAATGGCGTTTTATGTTTTAACATTGTAACAGGGAGCACCCCACAATCACCTAACCTTGACTCTCTTAGGTTCAGGTCGGGGTCACACACAAGAGCCTTCAGCCAGGAGATAGAAGCAAAAAAGCAGCCAGAAGCCCTGATCAATGGGTTACATCCGTATTCCAAAGTTTCCCATAATACAAGAAAATGTGTGGTCTCAGGTAGAACCTGAGATCCAGGCATGCCCCTGTCAATTGCAGTACAAAGGAAAGCATTTACAGTTTCCAGATCCCCGAATCAAGTCAAATACACCCCTTTGTCTTGATGGGGCTTCATCCCACTGTGGGGCAGGTAGGCATTGTGATTGAGATGGTTATCTGTCTGACATTCTTGGGGCAGCGTATCACCAGTCATGACTCCTGCAGATGTGACTGTACATCTCAGGGATTATGGTGGGCTCTCACACCCTTCCCCTAATACCTCACTTCCCTGGGTCCTAAATACCATTGGAACTGAGAAGATTGATGCAGCGAGTGATTTCTTGTGAATTTCTAAAGATTTCCCATTGTACCCAGAAACATTTATCCGTGAATTGCTGCATTTGGTATTGACACTTGCCCTGTTGGAGGCCTAGGGCTGGGCAGGGAGTCGCGGGCTCCTGAGCTGAGCTCCCCTTGCAGATGCGATCCCTTTGCAGAGATGTTGCTGTTCATTTCTCTTGACGCGAGGGGTGGAAGGCAGGGAAATGCCTGTGTGTGAGTGAATGGTTTGGTGATGTGCAGCGGAGAGACTGTGGCTTTGCCTGGTGGTGTGGAGACGCAAGGCTCCGGGGGGGGGAGTCTCTCACCCCCTTCCAATTTCCCGGGAACAACATGGTGCACCATCCTGATAATAAGGCAGGGCAGCCTAGCAATACTTTCGCAGGCACAGAAGGGTAGAGCTGGGAGGGACCCCCGCCCGCCCGCCCGCGCATCTGCTCCCCGCTTTGCAATGCAGGGATCCCAAGGAAGGAGCCGCGCAGCGAAGGGCTCTGCTCGGCCGGGCGCACGTGGAGGCGACTGCGCATGCGCCCCTCCCCTCCCGCAACTGCCTCGGCGAAGAGACTTCCGGAAGTGGAGCCGCTCGGCGTCGAGGGTTGCGGTGGCGAGGCTTCTTCACCCACAACTCCGGTTCCCTGCCGCGGGATGTAGGAGCCGCCATGTGCGGGGCAGGAGCGAGGGGTCGCACGGAAGGCAGCCCGGCAGCCGCTTCCAGGAAAGGCCGGCTTGGCTCCATCGCGTGGCTCAGGGAGAACATTCATCTATTAATATTATTATTATTATTATTATTCTACATACATGCATACCCCCAGCCACTCTGGGCGGCTTCCAACCAAATATAAAAAATGCAGTAAACCCTCAGACATGCCAAACTTCCCTGACTTTCCAGAGCGCGGGGATGCGCGGCTGGGGCAGCATCACTCCCGGGCGGGGCGGGGCGAGGCTGCCGGGATCCAGCCTTCCCCGCTTCCCTCCCTCGGTGCCAAAGGTCCCTTGGCAGGCGGGCTGCATTCAGCGAGGGGCCGGCGAGGGCGCCCTGGGCTCCAGCCGCGCGGCAGCTCGACCAGTTGCCTGCCTGCCTGGCGGGCGGGCGGCGGGGAGCCGGAAGTGCGGCGCCTGCTCCTCTTGGGGGCGGGCTGCTGGCGCGATGGCGGCGTCTCCCGGGTCTCCGGCGGGGCTGCGGCGGGTGCGGGAGGCCCTGAGCGCGGCGCTGGGCGAGCTGCGAGGTGCGCGCGGCCTCCGGGGCGGGAGGCGGCGGGGCTGGGCGGCGCTCTGCAGGCGCTCAGAGGCACGCTTCTCTTTCAGGCGGCGAGAGCCGGGAGGGCGCCGGAGGCTTCGAGGCCGGGCGCTTCTGGGAGGCCCTCGGTAGGTGCCGCCTTCGCGGAGACCCCTCGGGGCGGGGGGGGGGGGAGGCTGCAGGGACCCCCCCCGGGATGGGCTGCCCCCCCTGGCCAGTGGGGGGCCCTCCCCTCGACTCCCCCCCCGCCTCACCCTCCCGCCCTTCTCCGCAGAGGAAGCCTTCCAGGCCGCCTCGCAGGAAGCCACCAAGCTGAGCCTGGCCTTCGCGAGACCCCCGCCGCCTTCCCTCCAGGTGGGTGAGGGGCCTTCCCTCTTTCCCCCTCCCATCCGGGGCATCTCTCACGGGGATTATTCCCTGCAATATTTTTCTGCCCTGGGGGGGGGAGGGTTCAGTGACATAGGAAGGGGGTGCGGTGGGTGCAGGCCGCCCACTAAGGGGGGTGTGACAAAAGGGGGGCATGGGGCTAGGGGAGTCTGAATTAACCTGACAGTTAAAAATGCCACAGGGAATAGATGATGATGATGATGATGATGATGTTGTTGCTGGGTTTCCCCAGCCACTCTGGGCAGCTTCCAGCAGAAGGTTAAAAATACATTGAAACATCAGTCATTAAAAACTTCCCTAAACAGGGCTGCCTTCAGACGTCTTCTAAATGTCACATCGTTTTTTATTCCCAAAATGAATGCCGAACAGAACAACGCTCTATATTCCTGGAATCGCTCAAGAGCAAAGGCGTGGCGGGGGGGGGGGACACACACTGGGTGCCACACCGCGGGGCCTGCAGCATGCCCAAGCCATGTGTCTCTCCTGGGGGTGACTTGGTGGCTGGGGCGCCTGCAGGCTCCATGCTGGGGCGGTGGTGGCCAGGCTCCATGCAGCGGCCCTGCCCCAGCTCACCCCACCCAGTGGGTGGCTTGCCCTGCCCCTGGGCAGAGGGCGCATCCAGCGCTCCAGGCACCTAGCAGCTGGCGAGGCCGCTGGGGGGGGCGGGTCCTTCATTTGATCCATTCTTTGCTTTAATTTCACAGGCTTCCAATAATTCTCCCTCGATGCTCCCCAATCTCTCCCCCCCCCCATCCTGCCCAGCCTAGTTGTCGGAGCCCAGGGCCCTTTTTGCGGGGTGGGGGGAGCTGCCTTGTGAGCCAGGTAACCTTTGGGTGCTGTCCCCTTGCAGGAGCAGGAGAGCCTGGCGGGAGGGGTGCACAGCGCTGTCCTGGCAGCCGCCTCCGTGTATTACCAGCTCCCCAAGTGCCAAGGTGAGCAAGATGGGGCCCCGCGAGGCAGGGACAAGGGGGTTCTCTGGGGGGCAGCGTGTGAGGAGCAGGCCAGGGGGCGGCACTAGCTTGGGCTCCTGCACCTTGTGCTGGCGAGAAAAGAAGAGTCCGAGAATTGTAGGGTTGGATGGGGCCCTCGAGGGTCATCCAGTCCAGCCCCTCCAGGGCAGGAATAAAAGACGGAGAGGTAGCAGGGGAGGCGTCTTCGCTTCTCTGAAGGGCTGCCCCATGGAAGAGGAAGCCTGCTGGTTTTCTCCGGCTCTAGAGGGCAGGACCCAAAGCAGTGGGTTCAGTTTACAAGAAAGGAGATTCCGACTCAGCATTCAGAAGACCTTTCTGACAGGAAGAGCTGTTGGGCAGTGGAGCCGTCTCTCATAGAATTGGAAGGGACCCTGAGGGTCATCCAGTCCAACCCCCTGCAGCTGTCCCTTACAGGGATCGAACCTGCCACCTCGGCCTTATCAGCACCAGGCAGCTGAGCTCTGCTTTGGAGCAGAGATGGATGTCGTGGGTTCTGTAGCCGAGATTCCTGCATTGCAGGGGGTTGGACTGGATGACCCTCAAGGTCCCTTCCAACCAGAAGCCTGAGATTTTATGCGAGGTCAGGGGGGGGGCTGCCTGCAGTCTCTGTGTGTGAGTGCCAAGGAGGCAGGGCAGCGGTGATGGGGCTCTCTTTGCCCCCTGCAGGGACCACCCTGCGCAGAGCAGTGCGCGATGCCACGGTGCAGGTGGTGGAGGGGATGATTCAGCTGATTGACGTCATCCTTCGGACCCCCCTGCAGAGGTGAGCTGCTGCTTCCCACCCTCACCTGCCCAGGGAATGCTGGGGGGAGGCAGGAGGTCCAGGACGTCTCTCCCCAGAGAGTGGGGCAACCTCCTCTGCCGCCCCCGTGGGCCACAAAAGTGGAGGCCCCCCTGGGCCTGGGGCCCCCTCCTGACGCTTCTCCGCTTTCCCTTGCAGCCTCTCGCAGGAGCAGCTTGTCTCGACGGGAGGCGTCTGGGAGGCCTGCAGCCGAGTTTTCAGGATGCCTCGAGGTGAGTCAGGGGTCACCCCAGGGCAGCCTGGGGCAGGCGGGGCAGAGCGAGGGACGCCCCCCCGGGCGCTGCCATTGCTGCTTCCCCTTCTTGCCTTGCTCCTCCTCCCTTTCTTCTCTCCCCACAGATAACCAGGCGGCTGTGACCCTGGCCATTACCCAGGCTCT